GATCACCAAAACGCCTACACCTACTACCCCTGTTTAGCTTCAAACCTGCACTAAGTAGAGTAAATAGTACTCCACTCAGACCGAGTGCAATCATTTGTTGATTATTCAAGAACATTGCAATGAATTTAAATTAGAAAGGCAAACAGTCCAATAAAACAAAGTATAAACAATATTTTAGGTTAGATCCCAACGACACATGACATTCGCAAAAATTAAGAATTAAGGAACTGGGTAACCGGTCCTTAAAAAGGTTGAATTTTACGAATTAAGAATTAACCACTACGACGTTAGGTAATCCAGCACTAATTCTGCTAAGTTTTGAACTCTGAATGAATTACTTTTTTGCTTTCATTGTGATTTTCTACTTTGGTGGCAGTTGGGCAACATGGCTGATCAGTATGCAATTTTCGGCTGCGCGTACCGTGCGTACGGGCATGTGCGCGTACCATAGTAGACTGTACCGTAAAGGATTGCCGCTAATAAAAACTGGATAGTTCTATTTAAAAAAATGCACTTCGATCTTGCCTCGCTTTTCTCAGACAGTCTGTATCATATAAGATATTTTTAAAATGTGCGCACTTTGTGGGTCAACAACTTTCATATGAAACAATTTTTCGAAAGTTCAACACCATCGGAAATAATGGACTCTATCGCACTAAAAAACCACCCTGTATAACCGGCATGTGAAACTTCTAAATAAACGACAATCTGAACAACTTAAAAGAACACCCGTATCAACGCTACATCTTCAAAGAGCGCTCTTAACCCTACATAACGTTTTGTAACATATCTGCTACAACTGAGCAATTAACCCATTTTCAGTTGAGCGGTAGAAGGTTTTCACTTAGAAGCGCAGGTTGTCAGTTCTTCTACGTCCCTATGCCCATCTACGTAAGGTTTATAATCGCTAGGCGCAAAACTAAACCGCCAAAATAGGTTGACTGATACGTTAGTTCACATATCGGTTCCAGCAGAAACCACGCTGTTGGGCCAATAGTAGTTTTCATCGATATTTTAAGGTTTATTTGTGAAAATATTATACCAAACTGTGAGTAGAGAATTGTTTTATCACTCTGGCATGACATCTTATGACCCTGAAAAGAAGATCTCAATTATGATAAATTGTTTAAAATTAGGCCTATTATTGAAACTTTGTTGGCAAAATATCAATCAGTTCCACTCGAAAATAAATTGTCAATAGATGAGCAGATGTGGTCCAGTAAAGGCAGGCATAGTTTAAAGCAATATATGCCTGCCAAACCACACAAGTGGGGCATTAAACTATTTATTCTAGCTGGAGTACCTGGTTTTGTTTGGTCACTCTGTATAATTCCATGGTTACCGGAGTTTTAAATAATTACGAAGCAACGCAAGTATTTGCGCAATGTTAATTAGGCAGATTACCTTGAAAAACATTGCTGCCGTATTTCTGATATAGTTTTTAGCAAATTTCTCAGTTTTTAATAACAATTAATTTCTTTTACTATTTTTTCTGTACTTCTATAACAGCGCCAGACAACACCTCCAGAGGAATGACGCCAATTTTGAATCACCCTGTACTTCGATAACTTCTACACAAGCCTTCCGTTGGTATCATGCTTAGCAAAAAAGGGATTATTCTCTTTAGGTATCATTAGGAGGCCCCGCATTCCGAACTGCAAGCCTCCAACAGAAAAGGAATTTAACAAAATGGCAAGAGGCACTTCCTGTGAAAATGTTGGCACATATGATGGTATCGATGTTTCCTGTTGCTTTCTTTCTACATATGCTGGAGCACTTTCAAGAACCACTATACAAAGATTTCACAGGAAAGAGAAAAAACGAATTGAGATAGATGCATTATATCTGAATATAATCGACACATAGGTCGCGTGGACCTTATGGATAGCCTTATTGGTAGATACAACATAAAAATTCGCTCCAAGAAGTGGTATATCCGATTATTTTATCACCTTCTTGACCAGATGTTGGTGAATGGTTTTACAGGCGAGTAGAAGAAAAGCGAGCGCAAGACACAAATATGAAACTTACCGATTGTAGAGCAGAAATAGCTTATTGTCTATGTAAAATAGGCACAGAACAACATATTAAAAGGGGCAGGCCTTCAGATACTGATAAGAGCATACAAATAAAAAAACAGCGTAAAAAAACAGATATTAGCTACATTTAGAAATTTAAGAAAATAAATTAATTCTAGTTGACCTGGATTTTTTTCATTATTTTTTTCTTCAGTAGGACACCATTATATCTTACAATACGTTTTTCTATTGTAATTGAGAAAATTGCGTAATGTAGGGTTAAGAAGCATTTTGTTAAAACAATTTAGGTCAAATCGACATTAGTGATCTTCAAACCAATCGGCCAATAAGAAAATTTGTTGTTTTCGTTTGCCGGTCTAGTTTCCGGATACCGTCTACAATAACTGAAAATTAACACCTACCAATTCTTGAATTTCCACATTATTTTTTGAAGGTTTGCCCTCAACAGTAGTACCGGTGATACGTTTTCTTTTTGTCTTTAGAACCTTCATAGGTTGCACGGCTGCTTTATACGGTTCATACGGAACAAACCTAGGCTCTTTCGGCTTAGAACCCATCAGGCTTGAGACCTTTTTATCTTGAGGAACAAATTTTGGAACTAGATTTATAACTTTCGAAGCTGGCTCCACCGGTTTCATAGACTTTAAAATATTGCTTGAGGGTGTGATATGTAATACTTCTACAACGTTGGAAGGTAACTTCTCCATTCCATCACCAAGAGTTCTTATGGGAAAGCTCTTAGCTGTAAAATAAAACTGTGTTACTTTTATTCGAATGGAAAGTAAAGGCAATTTGTTTGAAATATCTCACCTGAACTCATGTTTATAGCCACACACACACACACACTATTTGACTCTTGTGAATCAATAATTTGAAGATGATGGAAAGTGTACGTACATAAATAAAACCAAAGCAAAACTTGTTACTTGTTGACCCCAAAATCAAAACATTGAAAACAAATTTATTCATTAAAATGACAAGCGAGGTTGCCCAATTGTCGACAAAGTAGCAATGCTTTCAATAATCCAGAATTCCACATGTGCAATTTCCAATCGAGTAAGCGACCTTACAATATTTAGGATACAAAAACTAACCCAAACTGATCCAGCGATTTTCCGTAATAATACTTATTAAAACTCACTGATAATTGGACTTAAAAGGTTGCCAGGCAAAAATAGCAATGCATCCTTCCATTGCAAGATTACAATGTATGTAGAGATAGTAGTAAACACAGACCACAGCGGTACTCTGTAATCTGTGGTAGCAATTAGCATGCACATAGAAGTAAGGTGTAAATTAATAAGATGCTCATGCTAGCAAGCAGCTAGCATGGAGAGAATGCGATGCTATGGCATACGGATGCCGGAGCTGACAAATTCTTAGAGAGAACTACAAGTTTTAAAGGATAACTCCCGAAAACTCGTAGTACCAAAAAGGGGATTTTTTAGTTGGTAAGAATCCAACACTACCCAGGGTTCGGAACACTGGGTGTCTTCGCAAAGATTTTTATTCCTCCAGCCGCCGGGCAAACAAAAAAAAAAAAATATATTACAATGTAAAAGGCAACGTTGTTTTTAAGGAATCCTTCTCGCCCCGGCTTCTCATTGGTTGGCGGCACTTGGCCACTAAACGGCAAACAGCTGGTAATATCGAAGTTGTCACAGCTTAAATACCATATGTTCTATAAGCTGTGGTTATGTTGTTAGGCATGTGGCGAACTCTATCCGCCACTTCTCAACTAGCAGCTCCAACCGAAACGCCAGCTATATCTCACCGCATAAGATCTGTGGCGTTTCGATTCAAATAGAACTTCCAACCTATGTTCCGTAACCGGCGTCTAACGCAGGGCCTACCTAAGCCTTACTGACGAGTCCAATAGGTAGGCCCGGGACGAAATGCACAATAAAAGGGAGGCAAAATCAAAATGTAGGCAACCCTCTGTCCAGACGGGTGTATGTCTCTGTCTGTCTCATTGACTTATACGGAGATTTGCTGCAATATTCAGCAATTTTGGTTTTCTTTTAAACAATTACAGCATGATATTGCAGGTATTGCTGAAAATATAACAAAATTGAACTCCCTTAAAGATTTCAGATGTAAAAAATCATAATTACAATTCTGAAGTGGAATAATATAGGAGCAAGAAAGTGAAAGCAAAATTAGTACACGTAAAATAGGTATAAAATACTTTATTTATATAGTAAAAAATATACAGTTTAACAAAAAGCTTCTAAACTTACACTTTTTTATTTAAATTTTAAGAATTGTTAAATAATATGAGTTTTGTAATTTTTTGCCTTACTGTTGCAGCATTTCCATGCTGGTTTTCCATGCTAAGAAGTGAAGAGTGATGGTGATTCGACATTTTATAAAAATATCCAGAATTTTTCGGATCAGCTGAATCTCGTGGCACTCCTCACCCATAAATTCTTGAGATGCGGGGTGCTTAGGTTTGGACATAATGTTTAGGGCAAAGCAGGGACCCGGACCGGAGCCGATATGGTCCCAAAACAGGAACGGAACCGTTTTTTTTGGACCGGAACTGGAACGGAACCCATAATTGATTTTAACACACTATTGTGCTGATCCGAAACCGAATTATTTTATTTCGGTTTTTTTTGTGTTTCTTCGGTTCTGCTTGTAACGTTTGCAAAAAATTACTGTACATTTTACAAGCAAATGAAAATAATCATTTATCCTCCTGCAAATAAATATAAAATTAGGTTTCTGTGTTCTGGTGATCGGCGGTGTACTATTAATGTGCCGACAAAGGGTCGCACTTCTTTTAGTTAGTTCCTGGAATCGTTTTAATAGTCGGCGCCGCGACGCCGTCATAGGGAGGATAACTTGAGTACTTAATATCCTACCGATTAATTGCCTCTTCACAGCAAAATGCGCCTGCGCAGTTTAGAAATGAAAGAGTTGCCATCCTCAACATTTACAAAACACAAATAACTCTACACGGTTACAATCTATGCGCTTACTGATGCCTACAATTATAGGTCGAAAAATAACAAATGTTGCTCACGGGCAGTTTGACTTCATTGAAATAGAAGATAAATCTGTTTGCAAATTGTATAAGATGTCAATAAAGGTAGGTAATTAAGTTATGTAATGTTTCTTGATATAAGATATTTTTTGAAGATTTTATTTTTTGCAATTGGTTACGAGAAGTAGAACGTTTCGTCACTGTTATCAATTTTGAAAAGTGTCAAAAGTGTGGACTTTATCAGTCAAAATTGCAAAAAGCTTTTTTTCACTACTAACCTGAGAAGTCACTATTATTTACTTTAATCATAAATACTCACTTTATGTCAAAACAATAAACTTAATTAGTTAAAATTAGAAAAAAAACTGCGCTCGTCTCGTAAGATCACGTGATATCTAGAACTTCTATATTAACGCACAAAAATACGGACGTTTTATAATACATATTGTCTAATTAATAATATAATATTGTAACGGAAATGGCCTGGGGTACTCACGTTTGAAATGGGGGGATCGAAATTCATAGTATTTCAGTAAATGGGAGCCCCATTTGGGCCACATTTACGGTCAAATATGACACTGACAAGCGGGAAGTTTCACACCTGTTCTGGAGATTTCGAGAACCATCTGGGTTACCTGGAGGAAACTATGGCGCGCGTTGAAGCACCATGCGTTTCGTCCCGGGCCTACCTATTGGACTCGTCAGTAAGGCTTAAGGTAGGCCTTGCCTTAGACGCCGGTTACGGAACATAGGTTGGAAGTTCTATTTGAATCGAAACGCCACAGATGTTATGCGGTGAGATATAGCTGGCGTTTCGGTTGGAGCTGCT